CAGCAACCTCAAACTCCTGAGCCAAGCGATCCTCCTGCCTCAGCCTCCCAAGTAGCTGGGACTACAGGCATGCGCCACCATGCTCGGCTAATTTTTTCTATGTATTTTTAGTTGTCCAATTAATTTCTTTCTAATTTTAGTAGAGATGGGTCTCGCTCTTGCTCAGGCTGATTTTGAACTTGTGAGCTCAAACAATCCTCCTGCCTTGGCCTCCCAGAGAGCTAGGATTACAAGTGTGAGCCACCGCGCCCGGCCTGCAGTGGGTTTTTTGGTTGAGTAATTACAGGGAGAAAAAAATATTTTCTTTGCTACAGAGATAGTCATGCACTTCTAAATCTTGGGCTAGAAATAAATGTGAATTGTAACGCACGTAAGCACTAGTTTATTTAGACTCAATTGCTATTAGAGATTTTGCAAGTGATGATAAAATTCTAGCTGTTACTGTGCCTGGCAGTCAGTAGGCACTCAGTAAATCTGCATATTTGTTGGATAAATGTGCCATAGATTTCAATAAAATGCATTTTATACGTTTTACTTTTCACTTATATACAGAGTGTAGAAGGGAATCTTACTAAGAGTCATTTAATAAACATAAAAATCTTCAAGGATTTTCCTTAAAATGAGTTTGAAAAGGCCAGTAATGATTTATTGTGCCACCCACAGCTACTCTTACTGTTGGGACAGAATAGGACATGCATTGATTAGTGAGATACTGGCCCCTGTGTGTACAGCCCTCTCAGGGCACCGCCTGGTGCACTTACTGCTGGCCTGGGAGGAGCATCGTCAGTGCAGTAGGAGGAAAAGAACAGAGACAGGGACAGGGGCACTTCCCTGTCGGATCTGACTATGCTTGGCTCTCACCAGCCGTACTGGCTACGCACTTGGGATTTGCTAGACAGCTGGAAAGGTGACTCGGTGCTTGATTGGGAAATCTTTAGTATCGAACCAGGGTATGTATTAGGACCGCCACCGAGGACTTCTGTCCTGATCCTGCACTGCCCTGGTGCCGGTCGCTTGGTTGTGATGACCTGATTTTATGTTGGGCTGGAGGGAGTATGTCCATGGAACTGAAAGTAGATAGGTGTGTTAACAGGTTTAGTAGTCTTAAGAATGATTTTATAGACCCTGACCTCAGTAACTGGCGTGGAAACGGAAAGCACAAATGGACTAATTTAAGTTTGTCAAATGTGTTGTAGTGGGTTTGGAGTCCCCGCCGCTGTCTGTGTCTGAGGAAAGACAACTCGCCATCCTGACAGAACTGCCTTTTGTGGTTCCATTTGAGGAACGAGTGAAGGTATGTGGTTTGCTTGGGTTCCTCACTGATTAAGTCTACATAGTTATCACTTCATGGTTATTTATCATATTAGTATTAAAAATTAACATGCCAACAAAAAAATCACTAGAGGTGCCTGGTGCCTTGCTAGTTACCTAATTTACATTTTTCTTATTAGGTTGTAATAGCTACCAAAGATTTGTAAACCGAACCCAGATAACCTCTTTGCACCAACTGAAAGTGTTTCCTTAGTTGTAACTGGTTGAAAGGCCTGTTGCGTTATAGGTTTCTTATAGTGAGGGTCTAAGGTTCTTTTCCTGTAGTAACTTTTGCATTGTTTCTGAAAATGCAAATTTTATAAAGATATGCTTCTGTACATGAGTGTTAAAGTTACTTATCACAAACTCTACTTTATTAAAACAGAAATGCACAGGTGTCTTAATTCTTTGCCTGGTGATTTGGACTAATGTACAGACATAGCTTACATTTATCTGTTTCCAAATTTAATGTAAAATGTTTTGTTTGCATTCATCAAATATATTTAGAAAATTTCTAACAATTACTCCAGTCTGTTCTCTCCAGTGATGACTTCAAGAGGGCTGTTTTAGGCCTGTACACACTCTTTATAGGGTGAACAAAAAAAAGAGGTTTCTTTTGAAGCTGTTGGTATTTGTTCATTAAAAACTACACACACGCATAGTATTGCATAATTCCTGAGCTCCCTCTGCTGGATTTTGAACATCAAAAAACTGCTTGAAATTTGTTACAGAGATATTCCCACTATTATCAGTGTACGGCTTTTACAGAGCTGTTCTTCCTTCTTCCCTCACCACCTGAGTTTTTATAAAGGGTTTATAAATGTAAATATACTATAGGATGGGATTTTTGAAGTTTATTGTAAAATGGGGGAAAGTATTAAATACTTACATATGATACATATTATATGTATTGATACAATCAAGATTTGATACCTTGGCTCTTAAAATTTCAGAGTTTATGGGACTACAAAAGTTAAGATTTAATTAGCAGTTTTTCCTTTTGGTTGCTTATAACAAAAAGTCTATTGTTTCTAATAACCTTACAACTTCCTCTATTTGTTAGATCTTTCAAAAGTTGATTTATGCAGATAAGCAAGAAGTTCAAGGAGATGGTCCATTTCTGGATGGAATTAATGTCACAATAAGAAGAAATTATATTTATGAAGATGCTTATGACAAACTTTCCCCAGAAAATGGTATATATAATTCTCCGTATGTATGTATTTGGCAGGGGGAGGCTGAGAAATTGTTTCAGAAAATGATGATCATTTAAAAAATTAGTGTCCGGTGTTCTATAATGACTTTTTAAAACTGAAATGTAGTATGTCAGATTTGAGAGATGTATATTATGAAATAATATTCCTAAAATTGACAGCTGTTGCAACAGAAGACTTTCTAAATATTGGTTTTCTTTTAAAGACAAGAAACTACTCCTCCCTGCCCAGTCATCTGTCCCTAAAATTTAGTTCATAACCTATAATTCTAAAACTGTTGATGGCAGCCATTTATGTTCTGTATCTTTTATGTAAATACATATGTAAATATCATAAATTCCAAGCCAAATTAAATATACTAAAGTAAATGCCATTACAGTCCAGATATCTTTTTTTTTTTTTTTTTTTTTTTTTTTT